CGGACGGCTACGGACGGTGTGTGTTGAGGGAAGAGAGAATGAAATGACGGACTGATGTTCAGGGACAAAGAAGAAAATGAATCTATAAGGGGGCTTATGGGGATTTCAAGATAGGTGAAAAAGGAATCACAAAGTTGTGGAAGAGGACAGAGAACAAGTAAAGGATGAGGAAGACAATTCCCCTCATTCTAGACCTTTTAAGCCTGTCCTTTACTTCAATTCATTTTTACTGGAATAATTCACTGGGAAACTACTCAAAAACCAATGATATCTTTCTATTCTTTTCCTGAATTAAGTTTTCATAATATGTAGTGTATATACAAAGAGTATTATCCAGACTTAAGAACAAAATATAGACATAATATGGAGGAACCTCGAGGACATTATTCTAAGTGAAAAAAAGCCACCAAAAGACAAATCTTGTATAATGACATGAGATTCCCTAGAGTCGTCAAATCCCCAGAGACAGAAAACAGAATGGTGGCTACCAGGGGCTGGGGAGAGGGAAGGACGAGAAGGCAGATTTACTGGGTATAGAGTTTCAGCTTTACAAGACAAAAAGATTCGTAGAGATGGACTGTGGTTAACGGTGCACAACATCGCAAATATACTCAGTTCTGCTGAACTATGCACTTTTTGGGGGGCAGGGCACCAGGGATCGAACTCAGGACCTTGTGCTTGCAAGGCAGGCAGCAGAACCAATGAGCTAAATCCCCAGCCCTCATGAATTGTACACTTAAAAAGCATTATGATGATAAATTTTTAAAGTATATTTTCCCATAATAAATAATTGGAAAAACTATCACACATTAAGACGTTACATTTAGTAATATACATTGAGCGGTCAGGTGATAAAGTGTTCCCTTTAATATTGGAGACAAAATGGATCAGTTTATTTTTGTTTTAATTAAAAAAAATTATTTTTGAGACAGGGTCTCGCTATGTAGTTGGACTAGCCTTGAACTTGCAGCAATCCAATCCTCCTGCCTCAGCCTCCCAAGCCCTCTCTAGTTCATTTTGAGACAGAATCTCACTAAGGTGCTAAGGTGTTTAGGTTAGGCTCGAGCTTGCAATCTTCCTGCCTCAGCCTCCCTGAATGCTAGGATTATAGGCATGAGACATCACACTCAGCCCAGAAGTCTTGCTACTACGATTCTGATCTAGAAAAAAGAAAAGGACTATGAAACACATTAATTCTTATAACTGGGATTACAGATGTGTGTTACCATGCCTGCAATGAATTGGTTTAAATAAAGAAATAACAAATAGCTTTGGGGATGCCAATGTACTCAGTGGGGTGTGGAGGAGAGGCAACTAGATTGAGAACCTAAAATAAATGAAATCAGATCTGGTCCTCCCTTTTCTCAGTGTTTAGGCATCCCCATTATGCCCTCTCTGCAGAATAAAGGCACATCCACATGCAACTTCTGGGGGCTGAAGGCTTATGCATACATTTACTGACTATTGACAATAATGCTGAAAATACCTTCAGGCCAACAGCAGAGATAAAATGAAAGTAGGATGTCCTTTAACAGAGCAAAAAGGTGGATAAAACTGTTCTTCCATAAGTACAGACAAAAGGAAATGGAACAAACACGAAAACTAAAATGTTGACTAGTGGAAATGAAGGTCAAGGTCTGCAGTCTTTGTGAGCTAACTTATTTTCTCTGGAAGGGAAAATAATGGCACCATCTTACAGTGTAACAGGAGGATAAGTAGCCAGGCTATTTTTTTAAACTCACTCTTCTAAAAGTACCTTTATGGGGTTTTCTTTAGCATTCATGTATCATAAGAACATATCTGGCTTCAGAAACAACTTAGAGTAACAGAAAACGGAGTTATTTACATATCACAAGATAAATACAGATATAAGTTCCTAAACAAAAAATCAAAATAAAAAAATGACCTTACAGCAGATTTAGACTGAATAATTAGGTCAGAAAGCTAATATGCTTGTAGTATCAGAAGTAACATGACAGCAACAGCAGCAGCTCCAGTTTAGTAAGAGCTTACTCCGTGCCATGGACAGGGGCTTTATGGCCTATGTTAATTTATCCTCTCACAACCTTCCAGGGTGGCTAATGCACACTGGTACTGTGTTCTACCCAGTATCTTCTATGTCACTACAGATTTCCTTAAAACAAATCAGCGTTAAAAAAAATAAAGTGAAAAACAAAATTAGAAAATGACTTAAAAAATATAGAACATCACAATCGACTCTGAAATATCCTTTTAAAAAATGATGCCTGATACACACACACACACACACACACACACACACACACACACACACACCCTGTGTGCGTGCGCATGTGCACATTAAACACAGGAATGGTTCCAGGATCACTGCAGAGGAACAGATTTCTCAGCAGATATACAGTTCTAGTAAATTCCTAAAATAGATCTGAGATTGGAGTTTTCTCTATTTAAATGGATTAACAGAGTCATTACAGGTCACAATGATGCTAATCACTTTAATTCTGATTACGGGACATCCAAGGCCATTCCAGACAAACTGTTAAGCCAGCTGCAACCTTCATCTCCCAGGAAAGCATTCTCTCTATATAGTTTCCTGCTTAAAGCGAAGCTGACATTCTTATCAAAGCAACTTCTAAGGCAGATTATAAAGGAAATATCACAAAGGGAAATAAACTTCATCACTTTTTTTCAATAATGGATTTAAAATTTTTCTATGTAATTTTCCCCTTTTGACAAATACTTGGTGCTGTTAAGATATTACATTGATTCTTCAGCGAAATCCTCACAGTACATCTGTGACTAGCATAAAAATTCCTGTCAAAATGCTTCTCCTTAACGTTTTTGCATTACTACCTGTGCAATGTGATTTCCAATAAAAATCAATTTACTCCTGGGCTTATAAACCAGCTTTCTTTCATTTTTTGTTTTGTTGTGTTTTTTTTTTTTTTTTTTTGTAGGGATTGAACTCAGGACCATCCACTTGCAGGGCAGGCAGTGGAACCACTGAGCTACATCCCTGGCCTCTCTTTCATTTTTAAAGTCTAAAATTCTTGAGTCTCTTGATTATGAAAAAAAACACAGTGGGTGAAAATGCTTAATAAAATAATTTTTAGGATATGATTTACTGCAGTTACTGTTATTTATTTATTTTTGTGGTACCCGGGATCAAATTCAGGTACTTGTGCTTTCAAGGCAAGCAGCAGAACCACTGAGCCAAATCCCCAGCCTGGTTTTTCATTTTAAAGGGCATAGTCTTAAGAAAATTAAAGGAATGCTTGATCTGTTGCTACAGAAAAAAATTATACTGTATAAAGAAAATGATCTTTTGAAGGCCTGCAGGCAGACAGTACATAAAAATAACCTTTCTAATAAATTCAGTATAATATCAAATAATATACTACTGAACATAAATAATATGGATTTGACTGAAAAATAATATAAGGCTATGTTTCATTTATTTATTTATTTTTATTTATTATTTTTTTGGTTTTTTGAGACAGGGTCTCACTATGTAGTTGAGGCTGACCTACAACTCACTATGTATGTAGCCCAGGCTGGTTTTGAACTCACAGCAATCCTCCTGCCTCAGCCTCCCAAGTGCTGGGATTACAGGCATGCACCACCACACCCAACACAAGGATATGTTTCATTTATACTTTGGTTGTGTTTCTATGAGGTTTTAATGTAGGCCATATTTTGGAAAATAGAATATTTTCCAAATATTGTGGGTGCTCATTTTACTACTAAGGAGACCCTCACGTTAATTTCTTCATAAAGCAGAATTAATGCTGGAGTTATTTCTTTGTAGATCTGAATTTATTTGAATTGTTTCAAATACTGAGCTATAATTCCAGGTCTTTTTCTTTTTTTAAATTTTACAAAGAAGTCAGAAGTTTTTTTTTTCCCACTACTGTAAATTGAACCCAGGGTTTTTGCACTGAGCTACATTCCCAGCCCTCTCTAATTCATTTTGAGACAGAATCTAAGTTGCTAAGGTGTTTAGGTTAGGCTCGAGCTTGCAATCTTCCTGCCTCAGCCTCCCTGAATGCTAGGATTATAGGCATGAGACATCACACTCAGCCCAGAAGTCTTGCTACTACGATTCTGATCTAGAAAAAAGAAAAGGACTATGAAACACATTAATTCTTATTCGGTTGTTCTCATATAACTTTTTGTAATAAATGCAGTGTTAAGGATTGAACCCAGGGGGCCTCAGTATAGGCTAGATAAAGGCTCTACTGGAAAGCTGTACCCCAGGCTCCTACAATAAACAATAATCCATTAATTGTTCTAACAGACAAGTTACAAAATTTTATCTAATTTTAACACATTTTGTATTTTTAAACATATCTTAATACTATACAGTGTATTGTTAGGAATTTTAAAAAGTTATCATTGCTTAAGATACACTTTTTGGTGGATACTCTTAAAATGGAGTCAACAAGAATGTTAAATTTCATAATTAAAAGCAAAGCTCAAACCCTCCCACTTACTGGGATTATCATCTCAGAGAACTTGACTGATCTTCCCACGCCTAAGTCTCCTTGTCTACAGAAAGTGAAACCAGCAGCACTTACCTCGTGAGGTTGGTGTGATGATTAAAAGAAGTTAATCTCTTTTTTCAATTGAACCAGGGCTAGGGACTGATTAAACCCAGGGCCTTGTGCATGCTGGGCAAACACTCTGCTATGAGCCACATCTCCAGTTCAGCAGTTAATCTTTATAGAAATGTAACACAACGCTATACACAGGCAATGTTTAATGATGGTGTGCCATTATTACTGATCTGAGTTTTATTATTGAATACGACGAATGCAAATTTTCTTCTCAATACAACAAAGTCAAAGAGAGCAGAATAAAATTTTTCATAGGCACTATAATGATTTCTGACCTATCAGTTACCTGATAACTTACCACAGTATTGTCACTTCTTGTACTTATAATAATTAAAATGAGATACATAAAAACAAGACCTGTTGCTCTCTTCCGTTGAGATATCAAGTACAAAGGCCACGACCCACCTGTGCAGCTCTTCTGTTTTGTCTTCAGTTGGACCTGCGATTAGTAAACAGTGGCGAAGGACAGCTGCCATGACACGGAACTGATGAGAGTCACTCTGTGAATAAAAAGGAGGAAAAAATTGGGGTTGAAGGCCTACACACGGAGTCTGGTACATTACCACCTATCACCTGTCTCCTTAAACACTTCTACCACGGAAGGAGGCAGCAGGACACTCTAGGAAGAATTCCCAGGGCGATGCTAACAGTCACTCTTGTGTGGACAGACACGGCCCCTCCAGAAATGGCAGCACCAATGGCTGATGATCTAGCCACTCCGCTTTACCTGTGCTGAAGATTTGATTCTACTGGGGAGTTTTCATTTCCAGGAATCTGGATTCTCTTATCCTTGTCGTATACTGCTCCAGTTTACTAATCATTCTAAAAGTTCTAACAAATGTAATGATCAGCACCGTTATTTTTGGAGCTAACTGTACATCTTTAAAAAAAAATCTCATCTCTTAACCTTCAAAAGCAGAGTCCATCAGCTTCACGTTATCAATCTTCCTAATCTCCCAGTTCCTGCAGAATAGCCAGCAAATGACAAACAAGTGATGTGTTTACCTCCTGCCTTCCAACCTTCGCCCATGGGCAGCGGTACTAAAGAGTCAGAGAGAAGGCAGCTGACAGCAGGACAGGAACTAAGCTTTGAATAACCTTTGGGTTTATCACTTCATTTACAGTGAGATCTTCGGCCATTAAATTAACTGAATCACCTGTATCAAGGTCTTGTCTTTCTTCATCCAGATTATGAGTAATTAAGATAACACATAAAATTAGAGATAGTTACGATAGAGATCCCAGGCCGTATTTCAAGAATGTAATTACTTCAAAAGCTACAAAATATTTTTAAAACTTCTTACTATATAATCGATGTTAAATCCAAGTAAAGTAAAATTACTTACACACACACACAGCCCTTCTAAGCTATCTCCTGAAATCTAGCAAACAGGGACACTTTCATTACTCACGATGTAGATGATAATACTTTAAACACATCGCCGTCATAGGCAGATTTGGAGGAGATAAGGATCTCAGTGGTACAATGGAAAAAGCACCGTACTTGGAGACAGGCCTTGGACAAGTCACAGGGTTTCCCCATGGCCTGGTCCACAAACACGTAGTTCTGTTAGGGTAACGAAAAGGCTATGCATAAAGCACTTTAAAGCTTTCAATAAAACATGAAGTTGGTACAGAAGAGGTGTTGAGGAGGAAACTGCAGGTAAGAGGTGAAGCCGGCAATAAACACCGTTGGCAAAGGGACAGGGAAGGGGGAGGGATGTGATCCATTTGCCATTCGGCCCCAAACGCTTTCCCTCGGAGCTCACTGAAGCTGTTACCGACCTCGATGGCTACACAACTCTTGATGTCCTTCTTGCTTCTGGAAATTAACTGGGATGTGTGCTGCCTTTTAAGTTAGACTTCTCCTTTATTCTAGATGTAACAATCTTGCTCTTCCCACACTGATGGAGACAACCCCCACGCAAAACTACTCCGGTCTTTTCATCATCTGCGACTGCAAGCCAACATCCCACCTTCCCTCCCATCTCCTCCTCCTCCAGTTTTCATAACATCCACTCCCAAGTCTTTCTGTCTGCAAGGTCTTCTTTTATCCGAAATTTACCAAAATCTATTTTTCTACTCAAATCAACTTCTGATACCACCTCTGCTCCTTACGTAGCTGATTCCTTTTCAGCCCCCAAGTCTCAGCGGAAATATGCTCCGAGAAGCCTCTTCTCTGGCCACCAGATCTCCGTAGGCTCCTTCTTCCAACATTCTCTATCACTGTATCTTTTTAAGTTCTTTCATGAAATCACAATTCGTAATTTCACATGTTAATCTTCTTGCACATATTTTGTTCTCTCCACTAATCTGTACCATCATAAAAATAGAATGTGTTGATGCTCAATAATTTTAATGCAAATGTTAAGTATAATAAACAAAAAAGGGCCAAATTGTGAGCATAACGATAACATCACAAAATGAGTGTACCTATATAACCAGTATGAAAAATCATGCAATGCCAAGACCAAGAACCCCAGAATTCTCAGGCCCTCTTGCACCGGCAGTCTTCTCTCCTCCTCAAAAGTGATCTTTAATGTCACAGGTTAGCGATCTGTCGTCACACTTTATATTCAGACCCTCTGTGTCTGGCTGAGATTCATCCACACCATAGTGCAGGTGCAGACTACTCTTTTTCACTGCTTGCGAGCTGGGCTGCTCCAAGTGTGGTGCCGGTCCCGTCACTGATATGCAACACCATGTGAACAGAATGTGGAACACTTAGAAACGTTTTGAGCAGTGGGACACTGTATAGTACTGCACTAGACAAGACTTACGTTCTGATGGTTAGGGGACTGGACTTGCTCCTCCTCTCACCACAGCCAGGTTAAGAAAACAGTGCAATAAAGGGTTTCGCTGTAATTTACTATCCAGCCCACTCACTATAAGGGACACATGGACTGTTAACTGTATGAACATACTTCTTACATGTCATCTGGAATCCCCTGGGTGCAGAGCCACAGGGAATATCTATCCGTCAAGTTTTAGAAGATACTGCCAGTGTTTGAAGCGCTTATGTCAATTTATACTTGTGACCGTCTGCCTACAGCTGCACTGATGTGTGACATTGTCAGTCTTTTGAATTTTAGTCCTTTTCATGCATGTGTAATGGTTTCACAGTTTTACCATGCATTTTCCTGATGACTAATAAAGTTGAACAGCTTTTCATATATTTATTGGTCACTTGGACAGCTCTTCTGCAGAGTTTTATTTACTGAATTGAGTCATTTTGCTTTTATGAGTCTGTAGAACTGCATTTGAACTGAGTCCTTCATTGCTTATATATGTTGCAATATCTTCTCCCACTTAGTGGCCTGCCTTTTTTTTTTTTTTTTTTTTTTTTGAGACAGGGTCTCACTATGTAGTTGAGTTGAGACTGCCCTGGAACTCACTATGAAGCCCAGGTTGGTCTGGAATTTGCAGTGATCCTCCTGCCTCAGTCTCCTGAGTGCTGGGATTACAGGTGTGCACCACCACGTCCGGCTATGCCTTTTTTAACTTTTTCTTTTGATAAACTTATTTTAATAAAATAATATTGTTTGAGCTTTATTTTGTCCTATTTTCTTTAGAAATCTTTGCTTATTTAAGAAATTAACTTTGAAATAGTCATAAAAATCATCTCCTATAAACTTTATTGTTTCATCTTTTATATTTAGGTCTCTCAACCAACTCAGGTCAGTTTTTTTGTGTTTATGGCACAAGGCAATAAACATCAAATTCATTTTTTCCCAAACAAATAAATGATCTAGGACCATTATGAAGCTCATCCTTCCAGGGTCGGGGATGTAGCTCAGTGGCGCTGCTGCATGCCTAACCAGTGCAAGGCCCCGAGTTCGATCCCCAGAACCAAAAAACAAAACAAAAAACCCAAACGCTTATCCTTTCAGTGCTGTACTTCCATGTTACCTCTATCATAAGCCAGCTGACAGCCTGGTATAGACTTCTAGACTTTCATTCTCTGCCACCAGACTACGTTTCAATGAACGTCTATCAAACGAGTGCTACTACGTAAGCAGTTTATCCACGCTGAGCGTGGACACTGTCTCCCTGCTGCTCGTTACTACGGCGCCTTTCTATAAGGAATTCAAACGTACTCCTCCTCAGTGCCTGCATCTGTCAAGCAGGGTTAATATTCCTGTGTCTCAAGAATGCCAGAAAGGACTAAAGGCGTTTACTGTTCATAAAACATTACACTAACACAGCCTACACTATTCTTATTTTCTTGCCTCACAATTTAGTTTTGCTATGTTTATGTCATCAATATTCTCTCCTCTAACTGAAACCACCTTCAAAGCTTGAGAAACAAAAAGTTCTAAAGTTCAGAAAGTAAAGGAAAAGACAACGAGCAAGTGGATTTGGTTGTGATGGTGGAAATCAAAACAAAACAGGAGATAAGAACTGAGGAAAATTTTGGGGATCTTTTTATGCAGTCTTCACTTTCTTTCTTTTTGTACCAGGGATCGAACTGAGGCCCCTGCACTTTCGAGGCAGGCGGCGGAACCACTGAAACACATCCCCGGCCAGTCTTCACTTTCTAGTTACATTCTACTACTGCTTTTTCCCCCTCCTAGTTAAAATGTGGAAGATCTAACTTTATTTGGCCACAGCATCAATTTTCCTTATATCTTTTCGTTCCAAACTCTGATCTGATCAATGCCCCAAAGCCCAAAGAGGCATCCAGAGTACATGGCACTTGAAGCTGCTATGCACCGCAGATGACTGATTTTTAAATAGAGAAAATACAGATAAGAACAGTAAAGCGTACAGCGCATGCCGCGCTGTAGCCTGGGTGGCCGTGCTGAAATGCTGAGAAAACCATTCCCCACTGCAACGGTACCGGCTGCTGGTGCGAGCTTTCAGAAGTGTTAGAGGTCATAAGGGCTCTGCCCATACGCGCGGATCAGCCCTGACGGACAGGAGTGGGTTAGGGTTCCGCCTCTTCTGCACCCAGCACGCTCTCAAACACGCATGTGCGTGCTTTCTCCACGGGAAGCTTCCGCCACGAGAGGCTGCAGCAAGCAGGCCCCACAAACCCCTCGGGCTGATGAACTGTCAGTCTGGGGTGTTCTGTTACAGGAGCTGAAGTGGACGTACATACACGTGTCCAGCCACCTGTGTGTGTAAGTCTAGTTTCCTTAATAGACTCTAGTACTCTGAGGGCAGTGACGTTTTACCTTGCATTTCATCAGCCTACCAGAGCTTGGCACAAAATGGATGCTCAAAAACTGTTGCAAAAACACATAGCACAGCCTGGAGCTTTATTTTTATTGTTTGTTTGTTTGTTGAGACAGGGTCTCACTATGTAGTTGAGACTAACGTGGAACTCACTATGTAGCCCAGGCTGGTCTGGAACTCACAGTGATCCTCCTGCCTCAGCCTCCCGAGTGCTGAGATTACAGGTGTGCGCCACCACGCCTGGCTGGAGCTCTATTTTTATTTAAGTAATATCTTTTCTTTTTCCATTTTATTCACATAATCCCTTCTGTTACAATGTGGTATTCCTAATTTATTTCTTTTTTGGTACTGAGGATCACACTCAGGACCAGGCGCTTGTGAGGCAGATGCGGTGCCACTGAGCTAAATCCCAGGCCCTCTCAAGTCATTTCTGTGGGCTGTCATTGTTATCCATTCCACCAGCATCTTCTGACTACTCACACGCTTGTGCTTCTCTACTTGGACTTGGCTGTCTGGCTCTAACATGCCTGCTTACTCCCCTGCACTGACACTTCGGACGCACTGGAGAAGGGAATGTGTGTTAAGTATAATGCCTAAAACATGCTCGCCTCCACTGACAGAGTCAGGAAAATACGAAAGCACGAAGAGCACAAGACCATGTCGATGAACTGTCCTAGAACTAAGTCCTGCTAAAGGGTTCACCTGACCTTGACAAAAACACTACCTTTAGGAAAGGGAGGGAGTGCAAGAGAGGGAACCATGGAATCCAGGAGAGGAAACAAGGCCAGTTTACTCACTGAAAGGAAAGGAATCTCCAAATTAATCTGCTGATGGCATCGGCAGCCAGGCAAGAATTTAACACTCAGGCAAGAATCTAAAATGAACGAATGGTACTAATTTGTTAAACCTCAAGAGAAACCTAATCCATTCTCTTGTGGTTTTGGTGAACTGTAAATGAAACCCATCATAAAAATATCTGTTAGAACAGTTAAAACCAAAATATTTTTGTTGTTAAAGAACACTTTTTCATCCTCCCAATGAAATCTTAGTTATAACTTAAACTTACTGAGAAACAACAATAAGCAATAACAATGAAAGGAACTGTTTTCAAAGAAAAGATGGAAGAGAGAAACTGCCCACCCACCCAAAGAGGCCACTCCTAGCAACTTTCATCTTCAAGGAACACATTCTGAAAACTACTACTGTTTATTTTTGGGCAGTGTTGGAGATCAAGACCAGGGCCTCACATATGCCTGACTAACACTCCACCACTGAGCTACACCTCGTCTTGAAAACCACTACTCTTCAAGAACAGTTTTTGTAAAGCTGTGAGAAAAACTATAAAATCACTGCATTTTAAAAAGGTGTGTGTACATGTTATCAAACAATGCAGAATGATTAGAGAATACTTCTACAAGCAGTTTGTATTTATTGCTTGGAAACCTGTTGCCTAGATCCTCTACAATGAGTGTGTATTATTTTCATAAGAGGGAAAATAACATTATTTTTAAAGCAGGATTTTTCTGTTAAATAAGTTTTCATATCCCTTTAACTCATCGGTTGGAATCTGCAGTATTAACACCTCTTTGAGCACTTGATCAGAAGAAAGAAGATGTCTCGCATTTGACAAATGAAGCAAACACTCCATTCCCATAAAATGGACTCTTAGTAGCAAGTCCCTTGGAGCTCTTAGAGATTTCCTTATGATAAGTTGCAAAGACCTCACTGAAAAGTACTCCATGCTCGGTTTCTGTACCTTTTCATCTGAAACTCAATTTCAGGGAAATTCTCCATTCTCCAAATGGCTGAAATATTCTTCATTCAGATCTCATGACAGACAGATCTTCAGAAGTCTCTGACTAAACTACCTACTTCCAGTCACTGCATTGTTTCCTGGCACTTGACACAATTACGTACTCGTTTACTGATTTATTATGTATTTTACCTACAAAACTGAAGTTTCATGAAAACAAAGACAATGCCTGTTATTTGCCAATACATTACCCAATGCCCCACATAATGTTTAGCAAGTGTCCGTAAATATTTGTTGAGTGACTGAATGAATGAATGTTTCCTGAAAGCTCCATCTGAAGACTCATGAAGATATTCTTTTCTAAGTGGCTTGGCAAGGATCCTATTTCCAATGTTTGTGTTTCTGAAAACCTCAATAACAGAGTCACACTAACTAAGCAGGTTTCACAATGGCTGTGCCAACTGAGCCATGATTCACAAAAGGCACTACTAGCCCAGGACTCCCGCTCTGGGACTACTAACCCTCTACAGCGGAAGCCTGCGTTCGTTCAGCACCACTATTATTCTTCTCCCTGCAGCACACCGATGAGGGTACTCTCAGTTTAACCATGTTCCGCACATGCCATCCCACCCACACACTGATGTGAAACCTCTGAGTTGTAAACTACTTCTGTCAGGAGTCTGAACAGTATGAGTTACTTTTTGGTGCACGACTTAAATAATATGGGCTCAACAATAGCGAACCAACAGCTTCAGAGGACCTCTTGCAACTAAAGAGATAACTTAAATACATCAAAACAAACAGTGTAAGAAAAATAACCATAGAAGGTACCAAATAAGCATTGAGACATAACATTCTAAATACTTGCAAATATTTGGTTTCAAAGCATAAATGGAGCATGTGGGCTTTCCACATCTTTTCCTGCCAAGTTTCAGGAAAAACTGACCATACTACAGTCATCTAAAACAGCTGTTAGCACTGATCTTCAAATATTTGGTTTCAAAATACAGACCTATTTGCGCTTTAAAACTCAGATGCCGGAACACTCCCACTACAGCACTACACTGAGATAATCCTTCTAAAGTAGGCTGCTGGTAAAAACAGACCTTTATTCATGGGAGAGAACTATTTCAGATGGACACAGCAAACTGTAAACCCAAATTACTATTAGGTGGGGACTGACTTTCACTACCTAAAAGAGAGAAAGAAAATGTGAAATGTAGGAATTGTAGAAGGAAGGAAAAGAGTTCATGTCCAATTCACTTACAACTGCTGATTTCCTTAAACTAAGTTTTGTGCACACTGTTACTGCGGGCACTCAAATATAAACTATCAAACTTGCCTCGTTTTGGGTTGCTGGAAAGTCTGAGCCACAGAAGAGGGTCCCCGTCTAGAAGTAAGTCAAGCGGTTCAAAATAACCTCCCCACACTCCGGTGTAATCATGCATGTTTTCCAGGACTATGTACCAGGGTGGCCATCTAGCTGGTAGTCCTACACTTCTGATAGCTATCTAGCACTATAAAGTAACATTCAAGGAGACTGGGATGGCAGGTGTACATGCAGCATTTTTTACTCTTCTGAGCAGACAATGTGATTGTCAATTTCATTTGACTGGATTTATCTTAATGTTTAAGAGGGTGGCCACTAAAAACACCTTTACTTTTATCAAAAACATTATTTCCCTTGAACTGTAAAATTTAAACTTTGTCCCTGAGCAATGCATTATTAAAAAAAAGAGAAGTTGCAGTACAACTCAGAAAACTAACTGTATTTGACATTTTACAAAATAGTAATCTACCTTCACCCTATTATTCTGATGGGTATTACACAGATGGAAAGAATAAAACAACAGGAAGTGTATCAGTGAGGGATGGTGGCCCATGCCTGTAATACCAGCATTAGGAAGGCTGAGGCAGAAGGACTACAAGTTTCAGCCCAGCCTGACCAACACAGTAACTTAGTGAGATCCTGTCTCCAGAGAAAATTTTTAAAAAAGGAAGGGACATATAGCTCAGTGCCAAGGCCCTGAGTTCAATCCCTAGCACTGAAACAAACACACAAAAAAACAAAAACACAGCAAAACAAAAAAGGAAACATCCTAGTTCATACAACTGACTAATGGGGGAATTGAGAACTTGTCCCACTTTCCAACTTCGCATTCTTCCCTTGCAGGCAGCTACTGGAACACGGCAGACCAATGACATTCCAGGTAGGTAAGGTTTCTGTCTCAACTTCCCAGCCTTACCTCTTTGTGCACCTTCCAACTGTCTACTGTCACATTGAAGAGAGCTTTGAGAGCCTCGATGGCGCAGTCTGTCTCCTGAGGTGAGAGAGGAGGTCCATTATGGTCTATGGCCGACTCATACTCATCGGTCCACTTGATGCTAAAGGCACTTTCCAAGATCTGGGTTAGCAGCGGTAGTCCCTGGAGCTCATAGCGCAATTGTGACCTGATGTCGGTGTGCAAAAGTGACAGGAGGAAGAGCAAGCGCAAGTCAAAGCACTTTATGTCACTGATAAATTTTCGGTCCTTGCACTTTCTCAGGAGGTTACAGAGCTTTGCGGCAAGGTTAAGTTCCAGGCTGAGCTGCTGTGCCATCTGACTGTTGAACACTATGTTACATAGACATTTTAACGATTCCACAATAACGGGGAACTCAGACACCTTCTCCAAAGAGTCATCTGACTCATTTAGCTTGGCTAGTCTCAGCAGTATCTGCATATTTTCCTTAGTTGTTACTGGAACTAAAATCTTTTTGTCTCTGGAGAGAATACGGAGTACTTCCAAGCAGGACACTTGACACGTTGTTGGGACTTCCTTTACCAGGACTTTAAATATGCCTTCGCAGAGTTTCTGAAAAACAAGAGCAAGGATGCACAAGTCATTGTTTTGGTTCAAATCATTTAAAACATAATGCTTCTCTGCTGCTGTATTTAATAGCAACTAAAGATCTGGCTAGAAAAGGATTTTATTTTTTTTAAAAAAATCACAAAATCTTGGAACTGAGAGCTTTTATTTGGCATACAGGTCTTTCACATTACAGATACGGAAACTGAGGGCCAGAGAGGGAAGTAACTTGCACGTGGCAGAGGGAATTAGTGCCGTAGTAAGAGTTAGAGTTTGCCTACCTTCAAAGTCCATTGTTTTTCCTATAAAATCATTCATTTTATTTTAAACTAATTAGTTTCAAATGTCTTGTATAGCTTCATTCTTTTTTTTTTTCTTCTTCTTCTTCTTTTTGTACCAGGGATCGAGCTCCAACCTTGAACTTGTGAGGCAGGCGTGGTGCCATTGAGCTAAATCCCTGGCCCCGTAGCTTCATTCTTAATGAATTTTTTGGGGGGGTACCGGGGATTGAACTCGGGTCCTTGCGCTTGCAAAGCAGGCCACCAAACCACTGAGCTAAATCCCCAGCCCTTTAATAAATTTTAAACAATGGACTACACACGTATTGGGGTGGGAGGTAGTATGTATGGATCACAGCTGTTCCCTCCCCAGAATCAAAGGGCAATGCTTGAGAACTGCCTTACAACTGCCCACCACACTTACTCTTGTAAAATGACTGAGGAGCATCATTTCTGCTGGGCTTTAGTTGTGCTATTCTGAATTTACAGGTCTATGGCAGTAGTTCAGTGGTATTTCAGAACACTAAGAAGCCTCTTTAGCTAAGATCTAATAATACTTAATGATCAAATGACTCCAGAAAAGAACTTTTGCTGGTAAACCAATCAAAATTATTTCCAGTGTTTAGTTCCAAAGAGTTCAGCTAGCGCATATCATGCCTCGGACCAACTGCAAAAGGGTGATCGCTCCGGCAAAGTTAACTGCAAAAAAAGTGTTTCCACTGGATGGGTAAATTACAAAAAGAGCCTCAAATTTCTCTGAGCAGCCCGAGTCCAGGACACAGAGCTTGGGTGCTCAGAAAGGACAAAGTCTTGAACTCCCCTCTGTTCTCTTAGTTTAGGGTGCAGAGTGTAGTGATGGCGTAGTAGTCCTGGACCCAAATCCTGCTACTATCTCAGTAACAGTTCCTTTAGGATGGACCCAACATATACTCTATCTTGTATTTTTTGAAAAAGTAATTATTTTTATCATTGCCAAATTTAATAATCATTGATCATTTCCTCATAATTCAATGCCAGCTTTCTTCTCTACAAACTGCAGGTCTGGGTCTCTTAAGCTGACCCTTAAATGTAGAGCAAGCAAGTATAATCATTCCATTGCTATACGTTTCTGTACCCCATTACATCTTACACAAAGTTTACAAGGTTTCTGCTAACTTATCAACAGACTCAAACTTTTTAAGAAGAAGCTAAGTTAAGGTCAAACATGATCTAGGCAAGAATTCCAGGCTATGCACACCTTCTCAGTACATCCACATCATACACTATGGAAATACTAATTCTAAATGTAAATATGTTTGTTCTCTAAATAGAGATGGGAAGGATCTTACCTGACAATCTAAAAAAACTTCAAAACATACAAACAAAACTTCAAAATAGTGTCAGCTATATCTCTGCCTTACCTGATAACCATAAAGAGCTTTCTTCTGATGTTTTAATATTATTGTTAGAGTAGTTTTTAAAAATCAATATATTTGGGAGTGGAGCAAAGTATGTGCCTATTGTTAAAATTATATAAGGCAGGAAAATTCTTCAGCTTCAAATCATTCACATTTAGGACAAAAATATCTGTTCTACACACTATTTCACACATGGCATCTTCCTGGGGTGGACTAAGATCACCGTTGCTCCCACGCAATTTTATTTGAGAAGGGAATCATATATCTTCCTATTTAAGTTAGAGATATATAATGAACATATTGTAAATCATATCTAATGGTACAAAAGCATCTTTAGTTTCTTCTTTCCTAAATCGAAACAATAGCAACAAAATCCAAAAACAAACAAACAAACAAACAAAATGCATGGCAACATGCTCTCTTTCTTTCTCCACCTTAAGACTTGGGAGCGAGAGGAGCACAGCGTGAAGACATACTGAAGGAGCAAGGCCACGTGTGCACTCGTTTCAAATGGACGGGTATACTCTGGGGTCTATGAAGGATGTGGAAGAGATCAGAGGTGCTCACAGATTTAAAGATTGTTTCACCTAAACGCTTACAAGAAATCAGCAACAAAGACGAGAGTTTTCCGGGGCTGGGGATTTGGCTCAGTGGCACCATGCCTGCCTTGGAAGAGCAAGCAAGGTCCTGAGTTTGATCCCCTGTACCACCAAAAAAGAGAGTTTTTGTTTCAAAACACAGTTTTCAATACTAGTTGAGTGTATCATTTCTATTTTCTTTTTTGAATATATCATTTTACTGAGAGACCTATTTCACATAATGAACATTAGGTAGGTTTTTGCTATAGTACCTCTTAAAAAGCAATGCTACTTTTGGGCAGTAACTCTTTCTGTTTTTGGTAGTAAAACTTAAAAAAAAAGGCAGCCAGGTGTGGTGGTGCATGCATGTAGTCACAGTACTAAGAGGCTGAGGCCTTGCCCTGAGTTTGAGGTCAGCCCACACTATACAGCAAGACGCTGTCTCAAAAAAGAGCATACTATAATACAAGAAAGGATTTTAACAGACACACTGCTTGATTCACTATCATTTCTATTCAAAGACTATTGTAAAGAACATACTAATGAATTGTGTATCACAGGTGGATAAATCTAGAGTCGTGCTTCGTACATGTGCACCAAGCCACAGAGGCTGAAAAGATAGCACTCTTTGATTCCCTCATCTGAGTGCGTGCACTGCTTCTGGGTGTCAAAGGTGCTCTTGTTCTTCCCCTTGATGTTACCCAGCCAGTACTATTTTAAGTGCTATGGATTTTTTCCAGAAGTGCTGAAATGCCAGGCAAGTGCTCTGCCACCAAGCAGCATCCCCAGCCAAAGGAAGTACTTCAAAAGTTGACTTCACTCTGCCTAAACAAGCCCTGCTCTCTTCCAACACCTTCCCTACCTCTCTGTTGCCCGCAGAATGTAGCTGAAATGAGCCCACTGTGCTTTCCTACTGCTGTTTCTTGCCACACACATCCCTGTTCTCTTCGTTTTCTGAATGGATGATCGTCCATTCAGCTTTTCTTTGCTGTTCCTTTTGCCTGGTACGCCGTGCTGTCACATTTATCTGTCAGCACCCTACTCTTTTTCTCAGGCTTACTCTGGGAGCTGAGAAGTCTATAAGCTTCCAAGTCATCCCTCTTTGCGCTTGTGCCCCCCATACGTACTTGCTGGTGTAAGCTGATATGGTACCTTGTTCCTCCAGGATCCCTGAGACGAAGGCCACATTTCACCTGCATCCCAGCGGCTAGCCCACGTGTGTCACATAGTGCAAGAGAACATAAATTCCCACAGATGACCTGCGCTGAGGTCTACCCCGACTCTCCAGCACCTTCCTGTTAGCCACAATTCACGACTAAGCCTCTTCTTCCTCTCTTTCCAAGTACAATGAATCATCATTACATTATGTTTTAGGAAGAAACTTTTTATTTACATTCAAGTACAGTGACACCTCAGTTGTCAAGCGGCCCCGAGCTCAAACTTTCCACTACTTGAACAAAGTTCGAAAAAAGTCTGCCCAGTGTTCATAATTTTGCTTTACAGTCGAAGTAAAAATCTGACTTGAAAAAACCTGTAAGGGCTGAGTGAGTCACATGTTGTCCCCCCATGAAGCCAACACAAAGGGGCGCGGCACTGACTGTTGTCAGCCCCGACAGAATGGTGCTTGTGTTGCTGTGCTAAAACATTTGTCATTGGGCTTTTTTTGTGTGTATGCACTTTATTTGCATAAAATATTGTAACCACGGCTCTAAGAAAGTTAGTGATACCAACGGTAAAGCTAAGAAAAAAACTGTGAGAACCACGATAGAATTAAAGAGATCACTGCGAAATTTGCTAAAGTCCTGGAAAAATGAATTTATAAGTATAATTTTGGGGCCTCACAACCAATTATTTGGTTTTCCATTATTTCTTATAGGAAAATATGTTCAGTTCTCAAACTTTTTGGTGTTTCAACACGAATTTGGAAGGAACTGAGTTCGACAACCGAGGTGTCACTGTATTTGTTTATACAAATTTGTATTCATTGTTCAATTTTTTTAAAATCTGAAAATTATTCAGGTATCTTAGATGACAATGGAACACAATTTTTCCCATTAATAAGCAATGAAAATTATTTTCCAATTTATTTGTCATTTTAAGACTTTAGGTTTTCAGGAATGAACTAAATTATAAAACAGGATTAAGTATGCTTATAAAATGCAATTATAAGAGTCTAAAAAGCCCATCAGCTGAGGAACCCAAGCTATATTCACGCTATGAGACACAGCAGGAGATTGTGAAGGGTCCCCAGTGCCAATACCACAGACTGCAGCTTGTTCCAGAGCTTAGGCCCTAGAGGAGACCTCATTCTCAAACTTCAGCACACATCACAATCACCTAAAAAAGCCCCCAGGGTTACACTCTGTGTAAGGAGTTCCTGATTCAGTAGGTGTGGGGTGGCTCCAGAATTGGGACTTTTTAAACAAGCTTAAAGCTGGTGCTGCTGCTGGTGGTGGTCCAGAAACAGCACTGTAGGACACTGCATTACAGACGCCAATGGGCTGACATGGCCTGGACGGCGGAGGAGGCTGAGGGCAAGTGACCAGATGTGTGTGCAAAAGCAGGGAGACGGGCACGGGAGAGTGCGCAGAGGCGCAGGCCATGAGCATGAATACCTTCACTGCTTCGCTGTCCTGAGTGAAAAATGTGTAAGGGCGGCAGGGATGGAAACAGGATGCCGCAAAACCTTTCCTAAATGTTAAAGAACACTGGAGGGTGAAACTTATTGAAGTTAGTCCTGGGCTTAAAAGTTG